TGTTTCGTTTTTTTTTTTTTTTTTTGCAAATATAACGAAAAAAATAAGGCACCAATTATCGAGGTATGAGTATGGCGCAGCCGATGTTGGGACTTAGCCCGTAAGGCAAGCAACCGTTCAATCATTTTCCATTATACAAATCCACCAACTTATCCATTTATATTGTTTTTTTACGTTAAATTATATTCGTAAAATAATTTTAATTTCATTTCTATTATTTTTAAAATTATCTAATTTATTTATTTATAAAAATAATCTATTTTTACTTCTAATTTTATTAAAATTTTAAATTTTATAGGGACTAAATTGCAATTAACCTTAAACTATGAGAACTAAATTTAATTTTTTGAGATTATATGGACTAATAATAAAATTTGAGAATTTGAGCTCATGACAACATTTATCATAGCAGAACTTGGCCGGGGTTAGGCTTAAACCAAGCCTTCTTCTAAGCTTTCATTTAACTTTCTCTTCTTCATTGCCGGCGGCGGCACTTATGTGTTTCAGACCAAAGGGATCAAATTGACAGCTTCTTCTACTTCGGGTCGATCAATTTTCAGAAGGCGGCTGGAGGATTCGGACCGATTCGTGTTAACGATCGGAATGTGATTGCTGTTCCCTTTCTGAAACCAGAAGATGAGTTTGATCTTCTTGTTGGTGATTGGTCTTTCGACAACTATAAGGTAACTGTAGTGTAGGAGTTGTTCTTGAACATGTTGGGAGTTATGTTTTTTTTTTTATGTCTTTAGATCCATGATGAATGATCCTATAATCGCATTTGATAGCATCCCGAACATCATGTTGATGAATGAGAAGCCACCTTTCGGCTACTACGAAGGAAAGACGTTTGAATCATTCACTGTTACACAAGGTAACCACACTTTTTCTTATTGTGAGATCCCACATCAGTTGGAGAAAAGAACGAAACATGTTTTATAAGGACATGGAAACCTCTCCCTAGAAGAACAAGATTTTGAAAAGAATTTCATTACTTCCATTATAACATAAAAATTAAAAAAATTTGGTGACATTCAAAGGTAAATTTTCCAAACAAGAGGATAAAAAATGAAGATAAACTCAAATAATCACATCAAGTTGATCATCAGTAAAAAATTTAGGGTGAAAAAATTTTAGAATTCTGATCCATCCTTAGTAATGACAGTCAACCAAAGTCCTGGCAGGAAAAACAAGGGGCTGCTGCTGTTGCTGCTGTTCTTGTTGTTTATTGTGCTGTTGTTGTTGTGGCTGCTGGTTTGACTTTATTAAGAATGATTCTCTTTGATCATGTTCTTGAGGAGCAGGAAGGTTGAGATCGAAATCCAAAGAAAGAACACTTCTTTGCCGCTTTGGTTGTCTTTGATCCTCAGTTTCAATAGCCATTGGAGTCAGAGACAAGGCGGTGTTTGTCCCGACCGGCATGGCGCGGTGGCGTCTCATGTGACCTCCCAAGGCCTGCCCAGATGTAAATTCAGCTCCACAGATAGCACACTCATGAACCTTAGCCTTGCCACTGCTATACAAACTCCCCCTCTGATTCAATTGCAGACAAAGTGAGTTTGTGATATTGTTTCTGAATTGCATCTCTTCATATTCTGAAGACAAATGCAGCTTCTTTTCAGCTTCCATGGCCTTAGGCTTCTTATGGCTAGCCCTGTGTCCTCCCAATGCTTGAAACGATGGAAATGTCCTATAACAGGTCTTACACTCATAACCATTCCATCCACTCCCACCCTTTTCGGTTCCAACCGCGACATTCTCCGTCGGGAATCTCCGCACATTGTTAAGATGATGAACCGGTCTGGCATCGACATGTTTCGGCGGCGAACAAAAGGGTCTCCCTTGAGCAAGGAGGATAAGGCAATTAGCCATGTCTTCTTCTTCTTCAGTGACGATATTGTATGGCTGCAATTCACCACCAGAGGATGAAGAAGTTGAAAAATTGTTCTGATTCTGAATCAAAACCTCATAATCATTGTTCTCTGCTACAAAATTACTGTCATCAACAACAAATCCTCCTTCCCCACTTGAAGAATTGGCTGGAACAGCAAAAGGGATTGGAGAATGAAGCCTTTGGCGCTTGGTTCTCTTACCTTTGGCTATCAGTGCTTGTTCCTTAGACCCCATGATAGCTTGTTGATGATCAACTTCCATTCTTCCTTCTCCAACCCCAAAATTCCTCTTTCAGAATGGCAAAGGAAGGGAGAAATTGGGAGGACTATGGGTATATATGTATGAACAGATGGGGTGATGTAATATTTGTTGAATGATTGAATCTCAATAGAACAGTAAAGTACGAATGATTTTGATTTTCCAAGGCTAAGAACATGTGATATATATATAGATATACAGGAAAAGGGGCAAAATGGAAGAGATATAGCACGAGAAAGAGGACAGAATGAAGGAGACAGAGCCATACAGTAAAACTAAAAACAAGCATTTCGTCGAACAGATTGTGTGCAAAATTAGGGAGGCAGTGTCGCAGAATATTGATGGAGGAACAGCCAGTTTGTTAGCATTTTAGCCCGTTTCACTCTCTTTCTCACACTTTGCCAACCCACTTTAGCAGAGATAGAAAGAGAGAGAAGACCCCAAATGCCAAATCCCATCAGAAAAAACGAGGAAAAAACCAAACCAATGGTAATTTCAGGCCCTTTCTAATTTAAGCCAATTTTAAGTTCAGTAGCTCTTGTTTGGGGAAATCGACAGAAACCTAAATTCATGGCTAAGAAAGACTCGCCTCAAATGGCGGATTTTGGAGAGAAACAGAGACATTTCCAAGTCCAGAGTTTCTTCCTCTCCTTCTTCCTCTGTCTTTGCCTCTGCACTCTGCCCACCGCTCCTCCAATCACGTCCTTGCCCTCATTAATTTAAATTTTAATTTTAATTTTAATGTATTAACTTTATATTTCTTTTCTAATTCCCTAATTTAATTTAATTTTCCATTAATTCTATTTTGGTCTTTTTACATATGGGTCGAACCCCTATCATATTACTTTTACCATTTAGTTTACTTACAACGAATGCTAACATTTAAAATGATAATGGATGTCTTCCTCTTTAAATTTTGTTTATATTGCCAAAATGTCTGTTTTAACCCCATGGTAAATTTTGATGGTCCTTAAAATTTCTAATTTTTTTCTATTTTAATTTTAAAATGTGGTTTTTTTTCATTAATTTTTTTCTACATTTTTTTAAATTAATAAAATAAAAAAACTAAAATAGTTATTTTTTGAAATATAAATATTATAAAAATTTGGGGACAAAATAAAATAAATTTTAAAGTACATGAACCAAGAAATAGATTTTATTATAATAAGATTAGATACGTACCCTCAAAACCAAACTAAAGTTGAAATGAGCATTTTAAAAATAGAAACAAGTATTAAAATTTATGGTCCACACGGACCAAAATAAAGTGTTAAAAAGTGATAAATATTTGGCATATAAACCGAAAGCGAAAGCGAGCTATAAGTTGACTTGATACTTATCTAATGGGACGATACATTTAAAGTTGACTCAATACTCATTATAGTGCTTTATTACCCGAGTATAAATTTTTTTTATAATAATGATTGAAAATTTTGAATTTAAAGACGGTAGGATATTTTTAATTTTTGTTTCAAGTTACCGTCACACTATTCTAAACTATAATTTCTGTCCACAAAATCAAAGAAATTATATTGTAACAGTGAGATTCTACGTCAGTTGGAGAGGGAATGAAACATTTCTACTTGTACGAAACATTCCTACTCGTAGGATGTAGAATCTTTTTCTAATAGGTGCGTTTTAAAATGTGAGACGGACGGACGACGATGCATTAATAATGTATTAAGATTAAAAAAAAAAAAGGTTTATTTCATACATTTATCTTCGATTATTAAAATTTTCTAACTTTGTTTAAAGTTTTAGAAAGAATCTAGCCTTTTTTTTTTTTCTCTCTTTAAAAAGGGATTTTAATTTGAAAAAATAAAAAGAGTAATTTTGAAGCAAACATTAAATGAAAATTATAGGTTGGTAAAGAAAGGAAAGGTGGGGCACAAATGAATAATAACACTTTGACTTGTAAACCTAAGCAAAAACTATATTATATATGAAAAGATACACATTATTAGGATGAAATGTGACAACAAATGACCTAATTTAACCCTAAGTTTAGCATATTTAAATCTAGGTTAAATATTATTAAATATTTTCTAAATAATAAACGTTTAAATCTCCCTCCTCCTTTTTCGTCAATTTTTATTTATAGTTCTTAACCAATTGAGTTATGCTCAAATTTGACACTCTAAGTCCTTATTTGAACTGAATAAAAAATATAAATAAAGAATTATATAATATTATACGTCTGGATAAGAGTGTACATGGGTTGGGTGAGAAAAATTTAATCTTTTGAACCAACTTGAAATTTTGGGTGGGTGACTCGAGCAACACAAATAAAGTAGACAACCCACCTTTATTTTTCAATAGGGTTGGGTTGGATTGTCGAGTTGTTCTTTTCCTTTTTTTTTAATTATATAAAAAAATATTACATTAATAACTAAAATCTCATAAAATTCAAATATAAAACATCCCCAAATCACAAACATTAGTTACAGAAGTAATTTTCATAATAATCCTAAAAGTACAGTAGGATAGGATTGAATTATAACCCTATTTTCAGGCTGGTCGGGTTGATTTGACTAAAAAAACGTCAATTTCGAAAATCAACCGTTAAAAGATTGAAAGATTGAAATGAAAAAGAGGTCTGTTCGTAAATAATTGGGGAATGCCACTTATTGATAATGAATGCAATTAGACTACTAATAATACACTTAAGATGAATGATTTTAATTTGGTAGATTGGTTAGGTAGGGATATACTTTATGATGTTTGCTATCATATTTGGAATAGATTTCAAACAAAATAAAGATAACTAAATTAAAGCTATAGTTTGAACCCCACCACACATGTATATATATATATATATATGTTATCTTTAGTGGGTAATGAATGACCATTTGATCTAACAAATGCATGCAAATGGATGTAATTTTGATTTCTTTTACAAAAATTTCAACTCATATATATTATACAAATAATAATGATAACCCGATTGAAAATTCGACAAAAGTTTTTGGACTCGATTAAGTAGGAAGAGTCATCTTGTGTCGTTCATTCATAATGTGACATCCCACCTCAGTTCGAGAATTCCTAACAAATCTGTTTTTAAATATTGTGATGAAGCTTAAGAGGGAAAGTGGAAGAGGTGAAGCCCTCTCGTACAATGACTCTACTGCATTGGATGAGAGTTCGTAGTACCCAAAACACTGGAGTCAGGGAATGCGCGTGAGACTTCCGAATTAAAACGAAACTTTTCAAAGTTGAAGGACAGATAAAATCGTTGTTCCTAAACTCGTATGTCGAGAGCTTGAGGAATAATTCCGACCTTGTTTTTAATTATTACATGATTTCTTTTAATAAGATGCATTCATTTGATTCATGAAATATAGAATAAATGGATAAACAAGAGCCATCGTGTTGATAAGGAGCTGTGGGTTATAGAAATCAGCTTCCATGGAAGCCCCACCTCTCAGCCATTAAAGTTTCTACTTTCTTTACTGACATGAATGCCAAGAACCCTAATACCCCACCAAAGAAAGTAACCCTTTTTAGACATGTTTTTATTCCTGTTTCAGAAACCAGATTTGTTCCGTCGATTAATACCGCAGTACAGCCCCGCCAGAAACATCCTCAAATTCCTCGCTCTACCTTCGAGGATGTTTCTTGTTCTTACCATTCTCTTGTTATGGATGTCTGGTTCTATCTTTTGTGTCGCTTCTGCTGCTTCTTTCAATCTTACATTACCCCATCAGCATCCTGACCCTGACTCTGTTGCTGATGAACTTCAAAGGTATAATTTAGCATTTTTTAATGTTTTTTCTTCGTGATTCTATTGGACATTGATGTTTTTCATCTGGGTTTCTTTGGATTTGTATTCCTTTTAAGAAAATGGATGAACCCATCTGAAAATTTCTCAGTTTTTCCTGCGTTTTCTCGCTGTCCAAACAAAAACAGAGCATTCCTCTGTTTCTCTGAAACCAAACATACTCTGTTTTCCCTGCAGGACAGTCAATGCATCTGTACGGAGAAGACAAATGCTGTCCGAATCGAAGGATCAAACTTCCTCTTGCCTCACCGGCAACCCCATCGACGATTGCTGGCGGTGCGACCCAAATTGGGCGGCGAACCGGCAGCGACTAGCCGACTGCGGCATCGGGTTCGGCCGCGACGCCATGGGTGGCAAAGGCGGAAAAATCTACATCGTTACCGACTCGTCGGATTCGGATCCGACGAACCCCACTCCGGGAACTCTCCGCCACGCTGTGATCCAATTCGAACCCGTGTGGATCATCTTCTCAGCCGACATGAACATCAAGCTCAAATACGAACTTATCATCAACAACTTCAAAACCATCGACGGCCGTGGCGCCAACGTCCACATCACCGGCGGCGGATGCATCACCATCCATTCCGTGTCCAATATCATCATCCACAACATCCACGTGCACCACTGCAAACCCTCCGGCAATGCCAACATAAGGTATGCGTTAGTGTTAAAAAGCAAAATCATACCATTACAAAGGCTCGTGATTTCTAACCAATTTAATGATTATTATCCGATATTGAAAAATTTAAGCTGATGGGTTATGATAGGTCGACCCCGAGCCATGTGGGGCATTGGGGGCTGTCGGACGGAGATGGGATATCGATATTCAGCTCGAGGAAGATTTGGATCGACCATTGCTCGCTTTCATATTGCAAAGATGGGCTAATAGATGCAACAATGGGATCGACGGGGATAACAATATCAAACAGCTACTTCTCGCACCATGACAAGGTGATGCTGTTGGGGCACGACGACAAGTACGCGCAGGACTCAGGGATGCAAGTCACCATAGCGTTCAACCACTTCGGCGAGGCGCTGAGCCAACGCATGCCGCGTTGTAGGTATGGCTACATTCATGTCGTCAACAATGACTTCACCGCTTGGGAAATGTATGCCATTGGCGGCAGTGCCCGACCAACCATTAACAGTCAGGGTAACCGTTACACCGCGCCGGTGGACCCTAATGCCAAAGAGGTCTTTTTCTCTCTCTAAACCTTTAAAAAAAATTTATTTGATTTTAAAATATTAAAACTAATGGAATAAACATTAAATTTAGAAAAAAAAAGTTTTGATTTTTTTTTTAATGGAATTATTCGGGGGAGGGGAGCGGCGGCGGTAGTCATGAGAGGAACTTTTGACTTGAAAGCGAGAAGTGGGTGAGGGGAGAATTAGATTCCTTATCGCACTTGCTTAGGCGGCGCCTGACGTTGACGCGCTGCCAATAAATCACTATTTCTTAATGGGCCCTCTGTTTTTGTGCCGCGGAATTTGAGGGAGAAAAAAACACAAACAGAACAAAACTATAATTGGGTTTTTGTTTTTATATTCTTCTGGTAAAGCGCGTTACAAGCCGGTGATGATTATAGGTGACGAAACGTTTAGACACGGCGGAGACGGAGTGGGCGGCGTGGAATTGGCGGTCGGAGGGTGATATTTTGGTGAACGGCGCGTTTTTTGTGCCGTCCGGTGCCGGACTTAGCACCCAGTACGGTAAGGCCTCCAGCGTCGAGCCTAAGTCGGTGGCTCTCATCAATCAGCTCACTATGAACGCCGGCGTTTTCGGCGCCCCCAGGTAACTTTCTTTTTTTCATTTACTTTTTTTTTATTATTAAAAAAAAAATCTCCATTTTATTATCTAAATTAATTACTATTTAATAATGGACTTATTAAATATAAATTTTTAAA